TGGTGACGAAGATGTTCAAGAGGGTGATTTTTTCGAGATTCGGGATGCCAAGGGTTGTGATTAGCGATGGAGGATCTCACTTCATCAACCGCACCATAGAAGCGCTTTTGAAGAAGTATGGTGTGAGACTAAGGTGGCTACCCCGTATCACCCTCAGACGAGCGGACAAGTTGAAGTCTCGAATAGGGCGATCAAGGCGATACTTGAGAAGACGGTGTCAAGGTCAAGGAAAGATTGGGCATCCAAGCTTGATGATGCTCTATGGGCGTATAGGACAGCCTTCAAGACACCCATCAGTATGTCTCCCTTTCAACTTGTCTATGGGAAAGCTTGTCACTTGCCGGTTGAGCTTGAGTACAAGGCATACTGGGCAATTAAGAAGCTTAATTACGATTGGAAATCCGCTGCAGAGAAGCGAGTGTTGCAGCTTCACCAACTTGATGAGATTCGGTTGGATGCCTACGAGAATGCCCGGATTTACAAGGAGAGAACTAAGAGATGGCATGATCGTCGGATTTTGCAGAGGGATTTTAAAGAAGGTGATCAGGTACTTCTCTTTAACTCAAGGCTCAAACTATTTCCAGGAAAGTTGAGATCGCGTTGGTCGGGGCCTTTCACGATTAAGCAAGTCTACCCTCACGGAGCAATAGAGTTATATGGCTATGGAGGGGATACATTCAAGACCAACGCACAACGGTTGAAGATTTACAACCCTGGGGAGCATGACAAAGAGAGGAGCGCGATGAGCTTCTCTGATCCTCAAGACGAGTGAGCAACCCCACGGTCAAGCTTAGGACCATAAATAAGCGCTCTCGGGAGGCACCCCGAACTTGTATATATCCTTTTTCGTATCCTTTTTAGCATTTGCATCTCATTTAGAATCATTCATTTGCACTCTTGATTGGAATTGATACTCTCCTGGTGTGATTGATGTTGTTTAGAACCGTATTAGACAGACCTTGATGCAGGAAAACAGGAGATGAAGCGAGAAATCAGGATGCTGTCTGGAACGGTCGTTCTGCTGCCGGCGGTACGTCCGTTCTACATCCCATGAGCGAATGAGGAGAAACAAATGTGGAATACATCAAAAGTGGAATGCAAGGAGGCACCTTTCGACCTTGGACACCAAGGTTACACATTAACCCTCTTCCACTTTAATCCAATTCTTTCATATTCCACATATTCCACCCTTTCGGATTCGAGTGACACCGCGGACGGTGTCTCATTCAAGTCTGGGGGGCGAACATCTAACATCGCTTCAAGTCCCTTTTAGAGTGCATTCATACATTCACTTGCATATAAAAAAAATGATTTCTCACGTTAGATGCATTCCACACTTGCATTTCTTGCACTTGTACAGATAGACACCACCTAGCCTTGCATTATATTTGTGTCTTGCATTACATTTGTTACATAAGTCTAGAGCATGTAGAAGCATATTCATATCATAAACCGTTTTGAGTTGAGATTGGTCGATGATGAGATGATTGTGATAGCTGCTTAGAGAATACTTAGCGATTTGGACTTAGACCTCTAGGTGTTCGAGTAGATTGTCGATGATAGGTGAATAGCGAACCCTCTCTTTGATGCTTGCGATTCTAGGTTGTGGGGTATATTGTTGTCTTTAGGTATGCCAAAGAGTAGGACCGACCGAACCTAGGTTAAATATCTCCCTAAAACCGTTCCCGAAGCTTCTCCCATAGGATAGATAGTCTCTTGGAAAGAATGTCGTAGGAATAAACGAAGAAAGTATACACATCCCAACACTCCGCTGTCACTATATCGTTAATGAAAATCATTCGATGACATGAGCGCGTCGAAATTCGACGGTTCGGGTCTAAGTTGTGAGACAAGTGTTGCCATGATCATTAGAGAAAAGTAAAAGCGAAGACACTTGTCAACTTCAACGTCCTAGGAACTCGGGATATTACTTCTCCTAGTACTTTCTTGAAAAGAAGAAGAAAAGAACAAGAAAAAAAAATGCGAAAAAAAAGAGGAGACAACATATCTTAGAGGAGGAAAACGGTAAATAGGTTTAGGAGAGTGCTTGAAAGTCAGAATTACTCTTATGGTAGACTAAGGACGACATTGAAATCCCATGCTTAGGAAAGTTTAGCTGACAAGAGAGAATAGCTAAAGTAGCCTAGATTCGATTCTACTCCCATAAGTTGAGTAGTGGACATGCAACTGGATCTTGAAACCCATCAAACACCGATTTCTAACTCACCGTCCTCTCAGACTTCGTGTTTCATTGATTTTATTTGCTCGAGGACGAGCAAAAATTTAAGTATGGGGGGATTTGATGGCTCGGATTTTATCAGGATTTCATACGAGTGTGCCTTTGGTTTCTAAACGGTTTCCACACATTCTTAGGCATTTTTAGAGCCATTCTAGGGTTTCGGGACTATTTCTTGACTTTAGCAGGACCTCGAGGGCATAATGCACAAATTCGGCGAGAAACGGAGAAAACAGGCGTTTGGTCCGCCGCTGACCGGAATGCACTCCGACGGACCAAGTCTGCCTAGCACATCGAGTCGGGCCGAGGAGAAAAGACGAGGAAGAAGTAAAAGAACTCATCCGGTCCGGAGCTGACCAGAACTGGTCAGCCCCGGACCAAGTGAGTTTCGTGACCAACTCTTGGTCAGCTCCGGACCAACTCAGTCTTCTTCTCCTCCTCCGAGCTGAACTGGAATTGGACTCAGTTCGAAACTGAGCTTGGTCCGTTTCCTGTTTGCTCTGAGCTGACCAAAGAGACGGAGTGCAGTCCAACTGGTCTAGGTCCGGGGCTGACCAAACCTGGTCAGCTCCGGACCAACTCAGTCCCTTCTTTCGGTCAGTCCGCCAGTCCTCGTCTCGGACTAGTGTTGTTCACGTTTGGTCCGCCAAACCAACTTTTGGTGTGGGGCTGACCAGGTGAACTTTGGTCCTCCTGACCAAACACTCGGTCCGAAATCTGATCTGCCTACTGGTCCGGCTGACCAACACCTTGGTCCGGCTGACCGCGGACAGATCAGATTCGGGACATAATTTTCGGGTTTCGAAAATTAGGGTTTCACCCCCCGTTTCGTCGCACCGTAAACCCTCCCAGACTCCATACCATCCATGCTGTTGGTTGTAATGCTCTACGATGATCCGTGATATGACATTTTGACTATGTATTGATTCATTGGTTTATGAATGCATTACTTTTTCCGTTATATGATTAGCATGTTTGTTATATTACGGTGAATATCCTTGAATCATTGCAGATGATTCTAAACTCCCTGGTCAGTTATCATTGTGGGAACAATGATGAATTAAGACCAGCATGATGTGTGATAGATGATTATGATCATATGCATTAGATGCAAATCACAATCATGGGTTTTCGTTTGGAACGAGTTACTGGATGACCCGCATGAGATTGTCACATGGACATGAGTCATGACTTGAATCTCATACAGCGGTTCGTTCTTGGATCCTCAGACCTGAGATGTCTAGAGTATCTGATATGAGGAGTGACGCGCTTGACTGCGTCAAACGTCGTCTTTAACCGGATGATCATAACGGCGTTGCTCAGATACGTTCACGAATCATATGCAGATAGTAGATATGCAATACGGGACTTGTCACCTCCTACGCAGGAGAGATGTCGCTGGGCCCCTCGTGGAAATTGGACTGTGAAAATGCGTGGCCACGCTACAGATGAATGTACATCTATTTTATCAGTAGGTTTGCCTAGACGAGTAAGCGGTTGAACTTGAAGGGTGGCTCATACCATGCCCTTGTTCAACATACGACATCGTAAGACAAAGAATCAGAACTCGAACTATGAATGGCTTTGTTAGATCACCTCTAACTCTATTCTAGGTGGGTGGTCATGGCGTCTTGCTAGAGGCTAACTGTGACACCCGTAACCTGTGCTTGTGGTTCGGGAAAGGTTTTTCGAAGCCACTACCACTTCGAATGGGCCTACAGGGTCACACACCATTAGGGATGGATCACACGTGAAGAGAACGACGCGAGAAAGGAACGACAGAACAATCTGGAAGAGTTCCAGATGGCCAGACCGTCCGGTCCAGCCATTACGGAT